AACTTACCCAAGTCTTATATAGTTAGACAGGGGCAGAACTGGGATTCAAACCCAGGCAGGCTAGGTACAGTCTGCTCTTAATTATGAACTTGCATCTGAGCTCTACTACTTTTGTGGAGATGTTATTTAACCTCTCTTCTTCAGTTTCTCTATCTGCGGTTTCAGTTTCTTCGTCTGCAGAATGGGGATAATAATAACATATACCTTAAGGTAGATAAAATAAGGCATTTAAAGCAGTGCCTGATGCAAAGGACAGGGAGCATTGCATGAGGGTTTGCAAGAAAAGTTATTTTATAAGAGACCACACAGAAGATTGTGTATACTTCATAGAGGTGAGCACAGAAAAAACGGTGGCTGCTGTTCATCACGTGCTCTAGACAATGACCTTGTGGTACTCTGTAGCTCTTCATAGAGCACAGGATGATAAAAAGTCATATGTAGTCTTCCCATACTCGTTTAGGGAGATAGAACCAAAGTAAAGTTTGTTTTAAGGACATGAGCCTACTGTAAAAGGACAGACAGCAAACTGCCACCAGTAGAAACAGCGTGAGGAGCGTCCCCAACCTGGGCCTTGCTGCAGAGCCAGGCTCACGCTCTGAGCTTGCCGCCTCCCTGTCTACTAAATCACTTGGAACCTCGATTTCCTCCTCCATGAATGGGGGACTGTAATAATGCCTGCCTGTCTGAGTTGATCTAGGATTAAAGATCGCTCATCCATTACTTCTTTTTGGGCATTAAGGATGCAAAGATTAAGGAAAAAATAGGCCCTGTCTTTGAAGGGCTCAAAGTGCTGTGGTGGTAGCATTGAGAAAATTGTTCTACCTGCAGGTCAGCAAGTTAAATACTTGGTTGGAGCCAGGTGCTAGTAGGTGGGGCCTGGGGGGCCAGGTTTGGAGATAGGAAGAGCTCTGGGGTCAGGGCTTAGCTCTGGAGAATATGATAGAGAATTTGAGTCTAAAAGGACGTCTTGAGCAAACAAGTAAGAATCGGTGGCACTTTTGGAGAATTTCAAGTAAGTTGACAGTTCCAGAGTTTGAGTTGTGCTGTGGCAGGCGAGGGTAATGGATGAGAATAAGAAGTGACAGCTACCATTTAATTCAGCATTTACTATGTCCCAAGCACAGAGGGCTTCGTTTTTATTTTCTCATTTGAAGTCTCATAACTGCTGTGTGTGTTGTGTGATAGTTAGTGTCCCTGTTTTACAAACGCAGAAATCAAGCCTCTGGGTTCTTACATGACTTGCCCCAACCTAGTGAGTGGTAAAACTGGGATTCGCACTCAAGCAGACGGGATCCAGAGTTTATTCTGAAGGCCAAGGGAGCCATCAGAGAACTCTCAGCCAGTGCATTTTAAAAGGTAACTTGAGTTGGGCATGAAGAATGCATGTGAGGGTAGAGACCCGGGAGAGGCCTAAGACAGGGAGGACAGTTAGAAGCCCACTGGAGTGAACCGTGGAAAACAGTGATATCTGAATTAAAGTAGAGGCGGGAGGGGGAGGGAGAGGAGAGGATTTGAGAGACATTCAGGAAAAGAAGATGAGAAAGTGTAAATGTGTTTGTTTCAAGGTCCCAGTGTGACATTCAGATGGGCGTGTCCAGTGGGTAGTCGTTGAGTCTGGATGGAGGAGAGAGATCTGGGCTGGAGTCACATGAACTCCCAGGGAGCAGAGGAACCCTTGGGGTGGGGTGGGGTGGGGAGATGACACTGATTTGAGGCCTACAGACTATATCCAACCTCCAGATTCATTTGATTTGGTTTACAGTATTAAAACATTGAAAACAATAGGTACCAATATTTTGAAAACTGGGAAAGTTCACATAATAATATTTGTGGGTGTATTTGATGGATTCAGCCCTCAGACCTCCTGGGGCCCACAGCTAAGGTATAACTGTCCCTGTGGGCAGGGCCAGTGCTCCCCAGCTTGTCACAGCGCCGTGTCCTCCTTTCTCATTTTGGACACCTACCTGGACCACACAGGTAGGTGTCTTACCTTGTGACCCCAGATTTAAGGCCTGGGAAGTGGAGGTTGAGTTTAACAGGAAACCAGAAATGAGTGCTCAGGCGAGTGGTGTCCATGGACCTCGGGGGCCGGGAAGTCGGCAGTGACAGGTCCCTCGGCCAGGGTCGGCCACGTGCAGATGTCCACCCTTTGGGTTTAGCTACCTGAGGGGCCCTTGGCAAAAGTGTGTGGGGGAGTGTGAAGGCAGGAATTATAGGAGATGAAGGAAGGATGAGTGTAAAGGGTGACTGCAAGAAGCTGTGTTTCAAGAGGAAAATTGTAAAAGATGATTCAAGGGGAATTTGGGACTGAGAGATTTTGTGTTATTTTTTAATATGTGAGTGACTTGAGCATATCTCTATAAAGATGTATGTGATATGACATAGTCCTTTCTCTATTTGTTACTGTCGTACATTTTGTAACTACAGGGAGTGCAGTCTTAGCTTTGATGGTTTTTATTAAAACAGAGCCCTCCCAGGGCAGAGCATGGGGTGAGGTTCTTTGTATGTCTGTGAAGATAGCTGCTAACTTCAGATCTTACCAGCGTTAAATGTATTTTTGCTATTTTAATATGTAAGCATCAGTGCCTTAAAATGGGTAATTCTGCACTTTAATAACAGCAGGGTAAGATGAGCAGTGCCCATATGTGGATTTATTACCTGCATCTACTTGTCTTTGTATACTGGCCATTTTCTCTTAACATTTGCCAGGTGGAATCTGTGATGATCTTATCAACCAGCATCACTTCTACTGCAGTCTGGGTTAGTGTGCTTTGATTGGTTGTATGTCATATGCCAAATTTTCCAGTTACTGTTTGGTATTTGTTATAACTTGATCCAATGACTTAGTGCTGTGTGTGTGTGTGTGTGTGTGTTAGAACTTACCTATCTTGTCTTTGATGAAAACTCTTTTTATTAAGGAAAAATGTAACTCTTTTCCGCAGTGACTGGTTGTAAGCTACTTTTCTTCTCTGGTGACCATAATTTCAAAAGGACATTTACTGTGATTTTTCTTTTCTCACAGTAATGTAGTGGGCAAGAGAGGCTCTAAAATTCAACATGGAATAGAAGCAGCTAGTAGCTAAGCTATGTGACACGTGTAAGCCAGTTGCTTAAGTCATCAGTTAGTTCAATACATAATTTTTAAGAACTTACTCTGTGTCAGATAAGGTTCTAGGCACTTGGGATACAATGGTGTGTAAGATGGACAAAAATTCCTGCTTTCTTGGAGTTCGTATCCGAGTGGAGAAATACAAAACAAATATGATAAGGAAATAAAAAATATATATCTTTAAGTATGTATTAGGGCATGATAAATGCTAAGGAGAAAAAATAAAGCAAGCAAAGGGGCTAAGAGTTTCCTTGGGTAGTTTAGATAGAGTAACTGAGGAAGGCCCCATTTGGAAGATATTTGAATACAGACCTGAAAGAAGTGGGGAAGCAAGCTATGCAGTCCCCTGGGGATAGAGCATTACAAACAGAGAGATCAACCAGTGCAAAAGTCCTGAGGCAGCCAAGTGCCTCACTGGCCATGGTTAAGGAGTGGCTCTGAGGCCAGTATGCCAAATGGGAATGAAAGAGAGTAAGAGGAGATGAAATCATGTAAGTAAAGTAGGTGGAACAGAGATTTTGCTCTAAGATGAAAGTCCCTTAGAGTTGAACATAGGAGTGACATGATGCGACTCACTTGTTAACAATATTTCTAGCTAAGGGACCTTTACCCTTTTTGTGCCCTGAACCCCCTTGGCAGTCTGCAGAAAACTACAGACCACTTTTCAGAACAGTGTTTTTTAAGAGCAAAAAATAAAAGCTACAGGAAAAAAATGAATCCAATTGTGCAGAAATGCAGTTACAAAAATATTTAAACCAATTTATGATTTAGCATTAGATGTACTTCTTTATGAACTCGTTAAAGGTGTTGTAGCAGTGGGTCTGTAACTATTGTGATTTCAAAGAAATAGTGAACATATTTGGAGAGAGCTGGACAATGCTAATATGATATGACAGTACCTGGGGTTTCTCTTGGGGACTGCTAATACTGCCCTGGGCCACTGTCTACATTTTTAATGGGAGGATTTGCCAAATTTCAGATAGAGATGAATGAGAAATCAAGATTTTTTTCCCCATCTAAGTTCAAGGACCTCCTGAATTCTGTCTGTAGGCCTCTGTGCTGACTTTGAGGTGAAGACTAGATTAAATGGGTCTACAACATTAGGGCAGACTGATGGAATGTCCCTAATGTTTCTGGTCTTGTCACTGTCTGCATTTTATAGGCACTGCTGGAATTCCCTGCTTGCCAGTTCAGGTCACTGCAGCACCTGCCGGATTGCTGTTCCCAGCGGCAGCCTCTAATTTTTTAGATGCTTGAGGAATGATAACTCCAAGAGGGTTTTTATATCTCTCTGACTGGTTCCTTATAACTAAATAGTTCAGAAGACCATGGTTATGGCCTCTTTCCTTCAGTAAATTCTCTGTATGGCCACATGCACTCCATTCTCCTCTCCTAGAGATACATCTCACTTCGGTTATTTCTAGCTCACAAAAGTGCGGCTAGAGCACACAGAGTTGGTTCTATTCTAAGAAAAAATAATCTATAGTATTATTTTTAGGTCATAGGGCTACATCCTAGCCAAACTCCACTATGTTCTGCTCTCCGCACATACCACATGCTTTCTGGCCCCACATCTTGGCCCATGTTCTTCCCTTTCCTTGGAGAAGGTCTCACCTGTCTCCTTTGCCTGTTCCTATCTGTCCTGACTCTCTTGACTCAGCTCAAAGGCCACCTGTTCAAGTAGTTGAAACTACTCCCTGATCCCCATCCCGCTGGGACCCTTTACCTCCTCTGAACTTCTGCGGCCCCTTCTCAGGACCTGTCCTCATCGTGCCTGACGTAGTCTGCCTTGTATTGCAGTCATTTATTTATCTGCTTACCTCCCTGTAACCTCTTCTGGGCAATGGTGCGTCCTGAGGGCAGGAACCATGCTGTGTTTTGCTCTCTGTAGTTCCCAGGAGAATGCCTGCCATGAACAGATGTGAGCAACGTAACAGCAGAAGCTTATGATTCCTGCAGGTGCCACAGGCGCACGTCGGCAGAGGTCCCATCCAAATCTGTAAGTTCACTTAATGTCTATCCCATCTCCTCTCCCCACTCCCCCAATACTAACCAAGGGTGCTTTTGACCTTTTATTTTTCTAAGTCGAAATAACTATTTTCATAAGTGTTTTATCGTCCTTGTAAAGAAATTCACATAATATTGAGAGGTACAGAGTAGAAAGCAAGAATCACCCCAAATCCCATCATCCAGAGAAAGTTCATTTACCATTTTGGTGTGTGTTCTTATAGACTATTTTTTTACTTTATAAACTTAGATTATTTTTTCACTTTATAAACTTAGATATATTTTATAAAGATCAGATCATACCATATATTGTATTATAACTATTTTCTTCTTATACTCAGCTTATTGTGGTTATCTTTTCATCTCCAGGCAGTAAAGCAAAGTACTTAAGAGAATGGCTTTAGAGCGTTATTGTTTGAATTCAAACACAGAGCATTGACTTAATGGCTGTTGACCCTGGAGAATTAGTTAAGCTTCTCTATTTATCAGTTTCTCCATCTGTAAATGAATCCAACAAAAAAAAATGCTACTTGTTCAAATGCTGTGATCATTACATGGGTTCAGACATTCGAACACTTAGAGCAGGACCTGGCTCCGTACCCAGGAGCTCTTACTGTTATTATTTCAGTAGTTTTAATGGCTACAGAGTATTGCATTGCATGGCTACCTCTCAATCTATTTAACCATCCCTATGGATGGACATTTAGGTTGCCTTTGACTTTCTACCCTTATGAATAGTTAATGATGCAGTGAAGGTCTTTGTACACACATCCTTGCACACTTGTCTGATTTATTTCCTCAGGATACATTCTAACGTGTGAAATGGCATGATTTTGTGATATGCACGGCTGCCGTGTCCTCTAGAAGCTCTCCTTTAACCCATTTACACCACTATTATTGCATGGAGTGTTTTTTCCCCCCCACCCTCCACAACTGTCTGCTTTCAGTTGCTCTTTTTATCACTGTGCTACTGCAGACATTTGGTGCATCGGCCACTGAAAACGTGGGGGCAGATGAGAGGAGGCACAGACTCGAGAGCCCTCAGGTGGGCTGATGGGCGGTTTCCTGGCTGCAGCCTGAGCGTCCGCTTTCAGCCGGTCACGCTGCAAGGTGGATGGACCCAGGGTGGTCCCTTCCTGGGGCAGTGGGATGGCGGCAGACCCTGGGGACTCTCCGGTTGGTCCCAGAGCCCTGTCAGCACGTGGGGATGACCACGCTGGGGTCAGTGGCTGCACGGTTTTGCCTCCTCGCATGAGCTGCACGCCCTTCCACAGAGCTTTTCCCTGCTTTCCTTTCTGTAGGCTGCCTTTGGAGGTGACTCAGTGACTCAGCAGCAGCCTGAGGGCGGGGTTGCTCCCCAGGGGATGGTTGTCTAGGAACACAGAACCCAAGGAGAGGAAAGTGGTGTTTAGTTACCAGAGCTTCAAGCCTTAGGGATTTGTGGAGATGGCGTTGCACTCACTCATTCTGGATGGCCAAGAAAAATATAATTTATATTCACCTTTTCAATGTAATTTAGAGGCTTTGCTTTGGAAAGCTCTTACTGATTTTCTCGTCTGAAGACCAGAACTTCCATAAACTGATCTTTAATCTCTGAATATATTAGATCCTGAGAAGTTTTCATTTTCTTCCTAGGAGAGAGCAAACTTTTTAAAAATAATTTTTAATTTAAGGATTTCTCATATTAACTTAAGGTACTTCTTGAAGTTGAAAATTTGGAAAAACTAAGTAGTTTAGGGATATTCCTAGTAATCTATTATATGAATCAACTGGAAAGTGTGGTATTATTCTGATTGCTTTGGATGATAGGATCAGACTATAAATACAATTTTTCTGGCACACTGAATCCAATTTTGGAGGTCTGGTTGTGATATTTTAATTTTATTTAAGCAAACACTAGACCACAATTGTCATTAGTTAAGCAAGATAGAGGTAGGGTTGAATTTCACCTTTTGCTATTATTCCTACTATTTGATTTCTCTCAGATTTTACTGAAAATTAGTCAGTGATTGATGAATAGTGGCAAGACTACAAAAGTGACATGTATTAGCATTTTCCTGGGACACCAAGGAGTTTCCATGAGGTTGGAGCTTGGCCAGGAATGGGTGTCGTTGGCAGGAGGACCGCTACCTGCAGGAGCCTGTTGTAGGGCCTCATCTTCGAAACTGTCAAGTAAATGTGCAGGGCATGTTATTCTGGCACCAAAAATGCTCACAAATTTAAGTCTGTGAAACAGACTCTCAGAGAAAATCTCTAACCTTTACTCTAGACTCAAATTGCCTAAAGCATGCTTCCAGTTTCATAAAGAGGTTACCCTTGCTTTTATCTTTCCTCATTTGCCAAGTTTTGCTCGTCGGACACCAGAAATGCCTGACTGAATTCTAAAAGAAGCAGCTTTTGGGGGACTATCCTCTGCTGCTCTCAGTAGATGAAACATTAGTACAATCCTTCTGAGCTCTCTGAACTTGCAGCTTCCAGTCAGGGTGACTGATGCTTTTTATTCTCCTTTAGAGCAGTGGGGATGATTTTCCTCTCCACAGGATACTTGGCAATATATGGGGACATTTTCAGTTGGCACAACCCTTGGGGCTGGGGAGGAGATGTGCTACTGCAGTGAGTAGAGGCCGGGGATGCTGTGGAACACCCGACAGGGCCCAGGACAGCCCCACAGAAGGATTTCCTGGCCTCCAAATGGCACTAGTGCCAAGGCTGAGAAAGCCCTGCTGTAGAAGTTTGCCGGGTCAGGGTGACTCCAGGAAAGCTGGCTGGCTGCCAGGATGTGCTCAGAGGTGCCACTTACCTGGTAACCTTATCAGAGACCAGGGTCAGGCTGTCGCCCAGCCTGGCAACTTCAGAAATTCACTTTCAGGAGTCCCAGAGCTGCCCAAACTCTAGGACTTCCATAGAAACTCACAGGAAGCTGAGTAAGTAAACTCTTCCTGCCTTATTCAATTCCACTAATAAACAGAACTAGTGGACGGTAGGTGCTGTGTTGGCTGCTTGGCCCATCTGCTCCCTGTTGGCAAGGGGCCTGGGAACTCAAATCGCCAGTTGGTTTCTTAGGAAGCCGGTTATCAGAGCAAGGGGAGGGTTTGGGGTGTCAAATGATACCTGAGATTGTGAGGTCCAGACCCTTAAAAACCCACTCAAGATGTGCCCTCAGGGATGAAGATGCCGTATCTTCACGATAAGACTCTTTTCCTTTAGAATGTGCTGGGTTGGGTCTCAGCACCCAACTGTGATCCTTTTACACTTTCCTCCTCTGCGGCCATCACTGACCAACTGCCTTTCGTTATCCATATTGATTCTTTTAATTAATTTAATCTTTAGTCTTCTTGGCTTGGGAGAAAGAATTGGTTCAATAAAAATGTGTCAAGTACAATTGTATAACAGGGATAATTAATACAAAGATCGGTATTAGGACACTGTCCGTAACTGGAGACTTCTCAGTCTAGCTGGTGGTGCTGAAGTGACAGCGTTTCAGGAGAATGTGAGTGGCGCAGTGACAGGTACACTCAGAGTTCTGTGCAAGCACAGAGGACACAGAATTATGCTGCCATATCACCTGGAATGTCTGCTTTGATCTGTCAGGCATGGATTTTACAGTTTCACTTTTGGAGTGCAACCTTATTTCTGTGATGCTGAGTCCTGGGAGAAGGGTGTAGGGAGTCATTATCACTCCTGTGTACAGTCTGCTATACACTTGATGTCCCTCATTCTGTTCCAAGACAGGATGTTAGGTCTCTGGATGGTGCAAGAGTCCAATATGCCACTTAATCTTCACCTTTCACCTCTCAATCATGGAGGCCGTCATTTTGTGCATTTTTTTAAATGCTGCAGTCACCCACCCAGGGAACAGAGCCAGATTGCAGGGAGGTACGAGTGATTCTGCAGGAGCTAGCAATACTTGAGTGACCTTGATGTGTTTTGCCAGGATCCCGCTGAATCACTTAGCAAAGTGAGAAACCTGCTCAAGTGCTACATCACAAGCAGTACTGTTCTTCTGAACAGTTACACACTGATAGGAACATAAAGAAATAGAAACATCTGGTGGGATTGTTAAGGAAAGGGTGAATATGCTAGATGTACACCTGTTTCTTCCCTAAAGCCTGCTGGTTAGGGCCATGTTCTGTCCATCTCTCTTAGTCCTTCCTTAACTTTCCCCAACAAGTAAAAGTGGATCTTGATTTTTCTACACTCACTGAAACCAGGCAGACCTACCAGAGTTTGAATCATGGCTCTGGCACTCACTAGGTGTGGAACTTTAGGCAAACAGCCTCCCTGAGCTTTGATGTCCCATCTGTAAAATGGGAATAACAACCACTGACCACTTAACAGTGGTTGAGGATAGAGGTGATGCGCGTGACATTCCTGGAAAAGTTCCTGGCACGTTGCAGGGACTCAAAATGCTAGTTATCATTTCACATGAGAGGTCACACTTAGAATATGAGTACACTAACAGGGGTGTGAATTGATGTAAAGTCACACCGAGAGCTATTAACTGGCATTATATCTTTTCCCCAAACTCACTTCTATGCACAGAAGTCATGGTGATGGAAAATGAGGCAAGACAGAAGAGTCAATGAGTTTTGGGGAGAGGGAGAGAGAAAGGGGAAGCTTTGGATGTTATGCATTCATCAGACATTGAGCGGGCGGGAGGCCCTGAAGGCAGCAGTTTTTATAAACAAGATAGCCGTGGCTCACCTCACAGTCTGTCCCTGGCCAGCCCTGTCCTTCTTTGAAGAGCCAGTGCCCACAAGTGCTTGGCATTCTTAGAAGTGCTGGACAGCCTAAGTACTTTGTTAACTTTTTTTCTCAGTAATTAATAGAGTGAAGTAATTTTTTAATTCACACCCCTGTTAGTGTACGCATATTCTAAGTGTGACCTCTCATGTGAAATGATAACTAGCATTTTGAGTCCCGGCAACGTGCCAGGAACCTTTCCAGGAATGTCACACGCATCACCTCTATCCTCTACCACTGTTAAGCGGTCAGTGTTGTTATTACCATTTTACAGTGAATTTGCAGTGAATTAATTATCTCCCAGCCAGATTAATCTTACCTTCCCTTAAAATGTGCTACATTCGGAAAGGTGTCCGGTAGGGAAAGGAGGGCTACCCACACGGGCTCACAGAAGGCACAGTGGCACGTCTGCATTCCAGGGGGATGCAGGGACCTGAGGCCGCCCAAGGCTGTGTTGCTGGAGGCCATGGAGGAGGAGGAGGCGGAGGACACGGAGGGTTTTAGCTCCTGACTTAATCTTATTTATCTCTGTGGGCTTTCTCTACCTTTTCTGCCAAGAGCCCAATCTCAGAAGTTCAGTTAAGATGTTTTCTAGCTCTTTCCTCCTTATCCTAGCTTTTGGGGGTGGAAATTCCCCAGAGGATGGCTCTGGCCGTTGTTGGGACCAGCTCGGAAACTGTGACCCCACTGCTCCCTCTCCGTTGATGCTGGTAGGACACCATTACTTGTTCTGCCTGGGGCCTGTGAGCTCCTGGGGGGTGAAAGGGGGCCGGCAATGCATCTTGTTTGTAATCCCAAAGCTTAGAATAAGGCGGGACAGATCTTAAACTATAATGAATGTTTGTTTGATGACTGACATAGCTGGAGGCCCTTTTACTTCCTTTCTGAAGCTCAAAATCAATACTTTTTTCTTCTCCACCTCTCTCCCCTCTTTTGGACCTACCATTGATTTGGAAAACATGAGAATCAATGGATGGATGCTTAGGTACTAGTACAAATCTATGAGAATGCATCAACATAGAGCGAGGATTACCTTTTTGGGAATTGGAAACTTTTTTGCTTTCTTTACTTTATTCAGAGAGAGAAACTGAAATGTGTCCCTTTTTTTGGGTACAGACTTAATTCTCCCCCTTGCCCCTCCCTTCTCTCCCCTCCCTTAACCAGAGGACTGACTAGCATGCATAGTCATTTCTGATCTGGGAAATACAACAATGGGCGAATAAAGCAGAATTGAATTTAGTCAACCTTTGAAATGTATTGATTTCAAATTAGAGCGGGAGTGTTAATTCTATTAGGCAGTCACACTCAGGACTGGGTCTCTGAAATGGATTAAAATGTATTCATGTAGATTTACAAGTATATCCCTGATGAATTAGCTAGGAGATAATGTTCCCAGAATGGACAGGGTGGGAAGTGAGTGGCTGCAGTCTTATGCTGGTGCCTCGGTCTATCTTTGCATGTTTTGTTGGCTTTGGGGTTAGTGTCCCAAGTGTCCACTGCAGTCACGATCTGAGAGTCCTTAAGCCTGAGAGCAGCTGTGATCAGGTCCAGGACTTTAATGGCTTCCTATGCACGTGTCTAGTGGGAATGATGGTTCTATGGGAGCAAAAAACTACCCCCTTGCTCCCTCTCCGTTGATGCTGGTAGGACACCATTACTTGTTCTGCCTGGGGCCTGTGAGCTCCTGGGGGGTGAAAGGGGGCCGGCAATGCATCTTGTTTGTAATCCCAAAGCTTAGAATAAGGCGGGACAGATCTTAAACTATAATGAATGTTTGTTTGATGACTGACATAGCTGGAGGCCCTTTTACTTCCTTTCTGAAGCTCAAAATCAATACTTTTTTCTTCTCCACCTCTCTCCCCTCTTTTGGACCTACCATTGATTTGGAAAACATGAGAATCAATGGATGGATGCTTAGGTACTAGTACAAATCTATGAGAATGCATCAACATAGAGCGAGGATTACCTTTTTGGGAATTGGAAACTTTTTTGCTTTCTTTACTTTATTCAGAGAGAGAAACTGAAATGTGTCCCTTTTTTTGGGTACAGACTTAATTCTCCCCCTTGCCCCTCCCTTCTCTCCCCTCCCTTAACCAGAGGACTGACTAGCATGCATAGTCATTTCTGATCTGGGAAATACAACAATGGGCGAATAAAGCAGAATTGAATTTAGTCAACCTTTGAAATGTATTGATTTCAAATTAGAGCGGGAGTGTTAATTCTATTAGGCAGTCACACTCAGGACTGGGTCTCTGAAATGGATTAAAATGTATTCATGTAGATTTACAAGTATATCCCTGATGAATTAGCTAGGAGATAATGTTCCCAGAATGGACAGGGTGGGAAGTGAGTGGCTGCAGTCTTATGCTGGTGCCTCGGTCTATCTTTGCATGTTTTGTTGGCTTGGGGGTTAGTGTCCCAAGTGTCCACTGCAGTCACGATCTGAGAGTCCTTAAGCCTGAGAGCAGCTGTGATCAGGTCCAGGACTTTAATGGCTTCCTATGCACGTGTCTAGTGGGAATGATGGTTCTATGGGAGCAAAAAACTACCCCCTCCCTGAGAGTTAGATGGGGCTCTTAAGATAAGGGTCTAATCAGTAAAGGGCCCCAAACACTGAGTCTGACATAGAATGTCTTGGGTGTTTCTTTCTTGGAGTTACAACTTGACTGATGGTTTCTCCTGCAGGTGACAGTGATTTTTGCGATTGCTTTGGCCGGTACAACCACAGGACAGGATCCTTCCCCTCTTTCTGGCCACTAGATGCCTACGTGCACCACATGCTGCAGTGAGGGGAGAAGGGTGGAGCTTCTCGGATGACCATGGATGTTCCACTGGGCAGGATGTGGGCAGAGTGTGTGACAGCAACACCACGAGGGTAAGTGCTGCTTCTCTGACACTTTGCCTGGCACCGTTACTGCCAAAGAAAGGGGCCAGTGAGCCCCAGGGTGTAGGGACAGAAGTGAAGGGCAGACACCAGGGGGACTGATTCGTTAGGTTGTTAAGACCCAGGAGCAGTCAGGGTAGATGAGGAGAAGAGGAAGGGACAGCATTGGCCTGGGAGGATCAGGTTGGACTCATACTGGGGGATGAGGCGGGTCAGCTGGCGAAGATCCTGTGGTGCCCATTACCCACCTCCTCTTCAGGCACTTAGAGCTCAGGCTTGGGGGTATAACACTGCTGTCATTGTGAGAAGATTCCATTTGCATCCATTTGAGTTGGTCTGGCTTAAAATGGGTGCTGTGGAGCTGAGGTGGTAAGGGTCTGGCTCAGGTCACATATTGGGGGTTTGTTGGAAGTGGTCCAAACATACACTTTTGGTTGAGACACATAATGTCGAAAACAGGTTGGATCAAATCTTATTAAACTTGAGATATGCCACATAAAAATCAGGATTCTCAGGTCCCCCTGGAACACCATAGGATAATCTGCACTGGCCTTCTGTTCCCATGAAGCAGTCTGGGGCTGGCTGGCCTCTACCCCTGCAGAGTTCACCACAGACGCCAACCAGCCCGTTTCATTTGTTTAACTTACTTGTTTGGCCACTGGAGCCATTTCATCTTGCCTTGCCTGGTCTAGATCATTCTGCCAGCAATTTGACAAAAACAGCCTTTATTAATTCCTTCAGATAAAAGTGAGTATTTTTCACTGAACTATGGGCAGCAATTAGCATAAGGGGCTGAGGCTGTGAAGATGATGACACGTGATCCTGTCTGTGCAAGGGCTTACAGTCTAGTGACAGCAATGGTCAGACTTAACAATGTAAGTGTAAAACATTATCGTATCTTGTGGTGGGTGCTACGATAAAGTGCACCTGAAGAGCTGTGAGAGAAGTTGAGTCAGGGTGGTGGGGGGTGGGGGGTCTCATACTGATTTGGCCTAGGTGCATTCGAATTTTCAAAACTCCCTCCCCTGGCTACCAGAGCTTCTTTGCTACAGCTATTTGTATATGGGTTCTTCCATACAACAAGACGTCTTAGAGATGTGATGGGTACCTACACAGTTAAGACGCCCCTCTTGTGGTAAATTCCACAGTTTTCCTGTTTCAGGTTGAGCATCTTTCCCCTGCGATTCTTTGCTTTCTACAAAAGGACAGATTTCTGGCTCCTTGGCTCACTAAATCACTGAACCTCTGAGCAACCCTCTGCTTAGAGATGAGCTTGTGAATTTCAGGGATCCCTGGAGTTTCCAGAGAGGAGCAGCCACGCTAAATAGAGGTCCAGAGGAAATGACTGCAATTGTAGTATGACTATACCGAGTGGAGGGAGCTGCTTGTCTTCCAGAAAGCTCTTTGAATTCATGTGTTCCGTACTCTAGCTTGGGCCTGACCTTCTAGATGTATCAAAAACAGCTGTTTCTCAGGATTGCATTATTTTAGCTGCTGCAGTGACACTGATTCATGAGGAATTGAACCAAGGACCACAAGTTTTCCATTTCCAAATCCACATAGGGTGGACCATGCAGTGCAACTGATATTTCATCATCCTCTCTGCCCCTCTTTGGCCTGTCCTTGGTGTCTGATTTTCCTTTCTTTACGTCTTATCAAAGACAGTGCACAGGAGCTCGCTCTAAGAGAAGGTGCTTGGTGTGGATGGAGTTGAGGGTTTCAATTCTGTTTATGTTTGCTTGGTTTTACTTGCAATATTCTCACGTGGCATGGCCAGAAATAGAATTTAGCATGACCTACCTTTTTGAAAAGTAAAAGTGATTTTTCTTTTCAATTGAACGAAAGAAGCACAACTTTTAGAAGAATGTTCCAGAAGGGTGGCAGTATTAATGCTAAAATGCCACTTTTTAAATTTGATGAAGGAACTAATGTAGATTTTTGGATAAGTGGGAAGGAAAAAGGAGTATAGGTTTTTGTTTACTTTTATGGAATTGATTTTAAAAAGTGGTTCTGCCCAATAAAAATACTGACTCTATTCATTATGCTTTTGTTACATTTCTGAGCAAAACAAGTGCCTTCCTTATCAAAGCCACTCAGGCACGTGTGTGTGTATATTTGTCAGCCTTGAAAAGACACAGTTTTGAGAGTATTTAAGTGAGTTTGAAAGCATGGAGCAAAGAAGAGGTGAGTGAGATGTCAATGGCTTTGAAAAGGCTTTACAGGGTGCCACTTGGAGAGAAGCGGATCAATGGAGTTTTTCATTTAAGCTGCCAGTGAATCTCTTGGATTCCTGACATTTTTCTTTTTCTTTTCCATCTTGCAAACACCAAGAGGCACAAGGTGACCAAATACAGTGTGTAGGTTTCTCACCTTGAGAACCTTGGGTTGACTCCAGGCAGGGGGATCGATACGATGAGACTGTGCTTCTCTGAGGAAGAGAATGAAAATAATAGCTGATTTTTCTACCTTGCGGCCCCCTGTGCCATTGGCATGCTTATACCAAATCCCCGACCAAGAAGTATAGCATTCTTAGTGAGAATGATGACAAAATATGTAAATTCAAAGCTCAGCCAGCCTTCCTCTATCTCACTTTAAAAAAATGTTTATATGCCCATTTTTAAGTAGCAGGCATAGTAGAAAGAGTCTGCCCCATAAAAGCTGGGAAATGAAGGCCAGATTCTGAGCTTCAGGTTTCTATTCGCACCATGTGGGTGTAAGATCTTTTGCTGTAGGATTGCTGGAGAATTAAAGGGAATGATTCATTCATCCCACAATACTAATTGCTATTAGGGTCCAGGTATGGTGTGAGTTACTGGGGATTAAAGGGCAAACGATAGTGTATATGAAAGCACTTACTACAGTTGTATGGCCCAAAAAGTTAAATAGTAATTCTTTACCTTAGTAATTTTCCTAAAATATTTTTGATGGAGAACTTTAACATGTACAAAAAAACAGAGACAATAATATATTAAACTCCTCTGAACCCCCCACTCCTTAGCTGCAACCATTATCAATTTGTGGCCATGTCTTGCATGATCAATATCTCCCTCACCCCATCACTCTCCATGGGTTATTTTGAAATGAATCCCAAATGTGGTAAAATCTCACCCATAAAAGTTAAGTATATATTCTCAAAGATAAGGAGTCTCTTGAAAGCATAATTATAATACCATTCAACTGTTTTTTTTTTTTTCGGTTGGTATACTGCAGCATTTTGTATATCCTTCTATCAGGAGGCACATCATGTCTTGTCTCTTTTCATTATATCAGGCTTGATCAGTGGATTCAGATATTGTTGCTCTGATTTAACTGTTATGAAGTTTACCATCAGCTTTTTATTGGGATTTTAGGAGTCATTTATGATCATTGTCTAGATCCATTATTTCATGATGAGTTGTAAAATAGTGAGATTTTAATTCTAGCATTTCTTCTTCATTAGCTGGAATCTCTTTTTTAAATAACAGTTTTAATGAAATATACTTTGCTTACAATAGGATTTACCTTTTTAAAATGCATAATTCAGTGGTTCTTGGTATATTCATGAAGTTATACAGCCATCTAATTAGAACATTTTTATTATCCCCCCAAAATCGCATACCCCATTTTCTCCTTCCCCCAGTCCTTAGCAACCACTAACCTACTTTTGTCCCAGTGAGTTTGCCAATCCTGGATATTTCATACAAATTGTGTCATACAATATGTGGACTTTTTTTTGTCTAGCTTCTTTCATTAGCATGATGTGTTCAAAGTTCATTCATGTTGTAGCATGTATCAATACTTTGTTCCTTTTTATGTCCAAATTATAGTCCATTTAATGGATATTCCATAGTATTTACACATTTATCAATTAATGAACATTTGAGTTGTTTCCCCTTCTTGGCTTTATGAATAATGATATATGAACATTAATGTATATGTTCTGTTTGAACATACATGTTTTCAGTTCTCCTGGGAATATACTTAAGAGTGAAATTGCTGGATCTTATGTTAACTCTGTGTTTAACCTTTTTAGAAATTGTCCTAAACTGTTTCCCAAAATGGTTGTACCATGTTACATTACCTCTAGTAATGCATGAGGGTTCTAATTTCTCCACATCTTCACTAACACTTGTATTATAATTCAATACTTGTTTTATTCTTACTCTTTAATTTTAGCCATCCTAGTGGTGTGAAGTGGTACCTCGTGATGTTGCCTGGCATTTCCCTAATGACTAAAGATTATTGAGCAGCTTTTCCTGTACTTTTGGGCCATTTGTGTATCTTCAGAGATATTGAAGTTCCTTGCCTACTTTTAAGTAGGTTATTTGTCTTTTTATTGTTGAGTTGTAAGAGTTCTTATCTATTCTGAATACTAGACTCCTATTAGATGAATAGTTTGCAAATATTTTCTTTCATTTTGTGGGTTGTGTTTTCATTTCTTTGGTATTTGTCTTTTGACTTGATAGTGTCCTTTGAAGCACAAAATATTCCAATATGGGAACGTGGGATGTCTTTCCATTTAATTATGTCTTTTTAAATTTTTTTCAGCAGTATATGTTGTAGTTTATATTCTACAAATTTGCATCATGTTTGTTAAATTTATCCCTAAATAATATATTTTGATGCTATTGTAAATGGGATTGTTTTCTTAATTTCATATTTCTGTTCTCTCATTGCTAGTTTATAAAAATGCAGTTGGGTTTTTATATTAATTTTGTATTCTGCAACTTTGCTGAGTTTTTTTATTAGTTCTAATGATGTGTATGTGTGTGGGTGTGAGAGTGTGTGTGAATGAATGTATATTCCATAGGATTTTCTATATACATGATCATGTCACCTGAAAACAGAGATAATATTTTGGCTTCTATTACAAGGTACATATATATTTACAATTCTTATGCTTTCTTAATGGATTGACTCTTTTATTATAAAATGCTGTCTTTGTCTCTAGTAACAATTTTTGTCTTTGATTTTGTGTGGTATCAGTATGGCCACTCCTTCTCTCTTTTGGTTACTATTTCCATCCTTTTACTTTCAATCTGTTTATGTTCTTTGATCTAGATAAATGTTTCCTAGCATACTATTTTAACTGTTTCTGTTACTATTGATTTTGAATTATTGGAATATTCTTATAAAGAAAATATTCCCTCATTAACTATTATATGGTTCTTTTAAGGTATGATTCATGCAGGATAAATATTTGATTTTTCTTTTTATTTTTCACATTCTAGAAAAATTAGTACTCTAGTACCCTCCAGTGTATTGTTTTCTTTCTTTAAAAAAATATTATTATGAACTCAGGGATTTTGACATATTTGATGTGTTCAGTCCACTGGAGATTTTTTTTTCTTTTTGGCACACGAGTTTCCCTCTTTGGCCAGTGGGAGTCTCCTTGAGTTGACCCTTAACCTGTCTTTTCTGATGGCTTCCCTGCCCTCCCATGGAACAGGGTATCCAGGCTTAGTTTGTACATTTCCTGCCTCAGAGCTGGGATTGGCTGTTTCTCCAAAGAGTTGTTACTGTTTTCCTGCGAAGTTGTATTTTGATGCTCCTGTCTGCACAGACTTGGGCTGTTCATTGTTCCTGCTTGGTGTCTTCAGTTGAGTTTCCTGGGAAATAATCTGAGACAGAGATTTTTGAGCAGGAAGTTTGTTGGGAGGTGCCCTTTGGGTCAACACCTGTGGGAAGTGAAGGCAGTAGGATTGGGCAAAGGGAAGCATTGAACTGTGAGGAAGTTGCACCAGAAACCTCAGCAGCTCCTAGGGCAAGCTTTGGAGTTGGGCTGCCTGTCCTGAGAACAGGTGCTGGGTTTAGAGCACCCTCACAGAGAAGTCACTGAATGTGAGCTGGCCTGGGGAGGAGTGTGACCTTGGGCAAGGCAGCTTTCTTTGGCTGAGGGTGATTCCCAAAGAGGGACTTAAGTGAGAGCCTTTAGCTATTAGCACTTTCGGTGTGAATGAGAATGCATGCTCCTGTTCTAAATGGGTGATACAAGTGAGCTCCAAGCATCCACTATAGTGGGTCATTTTATTCTAGGCCTTTTCAATGAAAATATGATTTTATTTTAACAAAAAATAAATTATGAGTGCATACTGATGTTTCCAACTTGAATTTAGGATCATCGGGTTTTTACTTAATTTCTTTGATTTTTATATACGTATTTTAAATTCTGCACCCCAAATCTTGGTGGTTTTTAATGACATAAACATATTCATTTACTTGCTTTACCCCATGTGTATGTGTATAAGTCTCAGAATAATTTTACCCTTATCAATACTAGAAATACTTAAAGATTTCTATAGTTTATTTGCCCTAGGGTATAAACCACTAGGGATGTATAGTCAAGTCATTATGTTTTAATTCACCTCTCTGAGGTTAATGGTCAACCTGGTACACACAGTGAGGTTATATTTTAGGGATTGTCTTTTTCATTTTTATTTAATTTTGTTTCATAATTATGTGAAACAGTTATTTGGTTCCCAAGTCCAGTACTTCAGCATTCTCCCCACTACACTATTCCCACATAGGGAAGTATTTTATTCATGATTGGTTTAACCTTGCACTATTTTTGTTTTTCTCTACATAAGCATATATGTGAATGTGTGTGTTGATGTCTGTATGTACATATTTATATATGTGTGTGTGTGCATGTGTATACACATATTTTTCTCCCCACTTAATTACTGTGGCCTGGAAATCACCTTATTGTATATATATAGAGAGATAGACTGTAATTGATTCAGCCAATCCACTATTCGTGGATATTTGGGTTGTTTTCAGTTGTGCAAGTGTTTCTATTTTTGCCTGTCTCTGTTGGGAGAGAATTCTAGAAGAGGGATTGCTGGGTCAAAAGGTAAACACCTTTGCCCTCTTTCTAGATCTTGCCAAATTCCCTTCCAAAAGGTTCTCCTTCATTTTGCATCCTACTCCTTCCCCACAGACTTATTAATAAAGTATGTTATCCAATTTAAAATTTTCTTCCAATTAGATAGATGAGATGTGACACTTCAGCATAGTTTTAATGTGCATTTATCCTATATGAGCAAGGTAGAGCCTTTTGTCCCTGTTCCAAGACCCATTGCATTTTTAATGTGAAAATATCTCTTGTGCATTCTTCTGTATTGTTGTTCTTTTTCTTCTCGATCTAAAGCTTTTTGTGTATTAGATATATTACCCTCTTGTCTGTGATATAAGTGGCAAATATATTCTCCCATATTAGAATTTAATATTGTTTATGACACGTTCTTCCATACACAAAATTTTTACTTTAATGTAATAAAATTTATTTCTTTTGTTTTTTTATCTCTATATTTTGAGTCATAATTTGGAAAGTTTTTTTCTATAGAGGAATTGCCTCATATTTCTATTCAGTATGTGGATGGTTCACTTCATATAAACACATAAGTATATACATTTGTGTATGTATATATACCTTCATATTTAATGTATATTTGTAATTCATATAAAAATATGTTTATATTAATATAAATTATAAATATATACACAAAAATATATGAATTCTAAATATATATAAATATATATAGATATGCCTGTGATCTAGTCAGTGTTTTCTGAGTAGGAATAATGAATGGCTGCTAAATAAATGCTGGCCTGTAAATAGGAATCTTGGAAATAATGATGCTTAGCATCAGCTTTTCTCTGCGTCCCTTTGAATGAGTGAGCCAGCGTGCTGTAGACTCGGGAGGACTGGCTTGGCGTGATGGCCTCTAGCTGGGCTTCTGCTTTAGCCCTTAAGGGCTGCATCATGCCCACTCATCTCTTCTGATCCTGCCTCCTCATCAGCAGAATCCCAGAAGTGTGAGGAGCAATGGCATAAAGAATGCTTGTTACTGGGGAGGGACTGTCGAGTGCGAGGGAGCCTTACCACGGATTGTAAAGGTGGGCCCTCCTCGGCCCTGCCGGCCGTGGTGGGACAGACACAGCCAAGGAAGCCAGCACTGTGCTCTGGCCGCGTGCACAGGGGACCCCAGCTTGCCCTCTCGTGGAAGCATCTGATCTGATCAAAAGATATTTTTCCTTTCCTCTCTTCTGAAAGACCCACAATAGGAAGCCACGGTTTTATGATGTGCTTTGCTTTTGTGATTAGACTTGACGGAATGCATGGACCTCATCACGGGCTCTCTGTCACTGACGTGGAGTGAATAAAAAGCCAGGAGGCCAGAGCAGGGGGAGTACTGTTATAGACGGGAAGAGTATTCTTGAGAGAAGTGACTGCAGAACCACTGGGCTATTGTTGCACACCCTCTGATTGGAGACCGACTAGTGCAGGTGTATCAGGTACACAATGGAGGCAGACCCTGGCTTTCTATCATTGTGGCTTTTTAGAATAGCCCAGGAGACGAAAAGAAGCCACCAGAAGATAACGTCCATTAGAGTCTTCATGCCAGCTTAGCTGAAACTGGCTCCTTGGAACATTTTACTGCTGTACTTGCCGTGAGTGAAGCCTGCTTCCAGAGATCTGAAGTTCCATAAATATTTGGACCAAGCATGAGCTCTGATTTAGGCTCTTCAAAAAAGGCGTCTAACAAAGATAGAAAGCAGAGGTGGAAAAAAGTCTTTTGAAGAGGTCAGCAAATCTATGAAATAACACATCAAGCCCTTTGGTTTCATGGGAATACACTCAGTGTTCTCTCTTGAGAGCAAATGACATGCGTTCGTTATGACTGCAGGCTCCTGCCCTGGGTGAGTGGCAGAGGGCTGTGCTTTAAGGCTGTGTCCTCTGGTGTGTCCTTTTCCGAGGAGGAATCTCTTGTCTCACTGATAGCCTTGGCTTTCCGTAAACATAAGGAGTGAGAAATTCCTTCCTGAACTTTCTGCCTCTTCTTACGGTGTCACTCTTCTCTACCCACATATGCAGAGGAGAAAACATCCCCCTTTAGCCTGGGCACTTCCTTGTCCTCTCCTTTCTTTCCACTCAGTCACCAAGTACTGCCAATTCTACATGATAAACTTCCCTTGAATTTGTCACTTCCTCTTATATGCATCCTCACTGTTTGTGTTGGGAGTCCTCACCTCTTCTCACCTGTTCTTTTGCAGCCCCATCTCCCCAGGAGCCTTCCACTCTGCTGTGAGAGGACTCTTCCTAAGTTACAGTCACAAATAAAACCATGCCCACCTATTGATTAAGATTGTTTAGTGGTCTTGCCTACAGGTAACATTCAGACTCTGTGAACTGATACATAATGTTCTAAGCAATCTGGTCTCTGCCCACCTTTGGTGTCCCCTGTGGGGAATGTCCTTTCCTCTTATTTGGCCAACTCTATTTGAACCTTTAACACTTGAGCTGAATGTAACTTCTACTAGGAGGTTTCTGCAGGGAGGGGTCATCGCTCTGGGTCATCGCTCTTTTCTCAATAATCCCAAACATACTTGACTCAGTTCTATTATAACACTTCCCACATTGGGTTATTGGGTTATAATAGGGGAGAAAATGGGGGAGAGGGTGTATCTAGTGGAAGTAGCATGGGTTTTAGGGTAAATCCGACCTGGATTTAAATCCTGGCTCTACCGTGTACCTATCCTATAAACTTGGACTCAACCTCTCTGAGTATCCATTTTCCTAAACACTCACCTTATGGGGTTGCAAGGACTGAATGGCATAATATGTACAAAGTATTTAATAGTCCTCTGCAGGAACTTAGTATATAACAATCTCCTACCTTTCTTTTATCTGTTCCATCTGCTGTGAGGAAGCATCAGTTACTGGGTGATGGTCAAAATCTACTATTTTCTCGCTGAGAAATCGGTCTGGTACATCTTGGTTAGTGTGAACCAAAAACAGGCTACTGTATTGGGCCAGTGGAGACTTGAGTATATGTGGAGAGATTGTGCTAGACCGTCTGTGAGGCGAGGGAGAAGGTGGGAGAGGAGTGTGTTTGCGTCAGGAAACTGATAGTGCAATTAACTTAAAAACAGTTCACCCAAGTCAGTTTCTCCCCTTGTGGATGTACCTGAAACACCATCCCATGGAGTGTAACTGTATCTTTAAGACACAGGGTACTTAAGGACAAGGAGATAATTATATCTCTTGATTGTCCACATCCAAGCAGAGGGAATAGGGCTTCCTTTTAAATGGGTGAAACACTGGAGCATAAGGGGAACCTACATCTTTCCTGAGAGCTGAGCTGAGCCCCCAGTGATGTGCAGTGGGGGGTGAGGTGCACAGCAGAGAGAGAGCTGTTCCTGACGGTGCATGCACAGGCCCTGGGGAACAGGGAGAGATGAGCAGCAAGCCAGGCAACAGCTAGCCTATCACATCTGAACTGAACATTCCCAGATGCAGGAGCCCCGTGGTTGAGACAGGAGATGCTTGTATTGTGTAACTCGCCCAAAATGGATTGTTTTGGTGGGGGATGGGAGGTAAATGCAGGTGCTTAGAAAATAGAGAAATAGGAACTAGGGTTCATCGAAATTACATGGCAGTCTTCTTTTTCCTAAAAAATGGATCTGTCAAACCCAGTTTTTGAAAAAAGGTCTGTTTTGTGTTGATTTTCCTCTAGTCCAAATGTGTAATGCTGTATTCCTTTCTCGTCGCTTCCCTGCTTGGCTCGTATCATACAGAGCCTATCATCCTGGAAAGGGCAGATTAAAAATAAGCTTGGCAAGGCACGACGGGACAGCGCTAATGCCGTCTTGTGCTTCTTTCAGGTATCGTGTGAAACTTGTCTCCCTTCCCAGCCAGCTCTCGGCCCCCTCTATCCACCATGGTGTTTGGTGAGTTTTTCCACCGCCCTGGACAAGACGAGGAACTTGTCAACTTGAACGTGGGGGGTTTTAAGCAGTCCGTCGACCAAAGCACCCTCCTGCGGTTTCCCCACACCAGGCTCGGAAAGCTGCTCGCCTGCCACTCGGAGGAGGCCATCCTGGAGCTGTGCGACGACTACAGTGTGGCCGACAGAGAGTACTATTTCGATCGGAACCCCTCCTTGTTCAGATATGTTTTGAACTTTTATTACACGGGAAAGCTGCACGTCATGGAGGAGCTGTGCGTGTTCTCCTTCTGCCAGGAGATCGAGTACTGGGGCATCAACGAGCTCTTCCTCGACTCCTGCTGCAGCAATCGCTACCAGGAGCGCAAGGAGGAAAGCCACGAGAAGGACTGGGACCAGAAAAGCAACGATGTGAGTACGGACTCCTCCTTCGAGGAGTCGTCTCTGTTTGAGAAGGAGCTGGAGAAGTTTGACAAGTTGCCATTCGGTCAGCTCCGGAAGAAGATCTGGATTCGAATGGAAAACCCAGCCTGCTGCCTGTCTGCCAAGCTCATTGCCATCTCCTCCTTGAGCGTGGTGCTGGCCTCCATTGTGGCCATGTGTGTCCACAGTATGTCGGAGTTCCAGAACGAGGACGGGGAAGTGGATGACCCTGTGCTAGAGGGTGTGGAGATCGCGTGCATCGCTTGGTTCACCGGGGAGCTGGCCATCCGGCTGGTGGCCGCTCCCTGTCAAAAGAAATTCTGGAAAAACCCTCTGAACATAATCGACTTTGTCTCCATTATTCCCTTCTATGCTACGTTGGCTGTAGACACCAAGGAGGAAGAGAGTGAAGACATTGAGAACATGGGCAAGGTGGTCCAGATCCTCAGGCTTATGAGGATTTTCCGCATTCTCAAGCTTGCCCGGCACTCGGTTGGACTCCGGTCTCTAGGTGCCACACTGCGACACAGCTACCATGAAGTTGGGCTGCTGCTTCTCTTCCTATCCGTGGGCATTTCCATCTTTTCTGTGCTTATCTACTCTGTGGAGAAAGATGACAGCATGTCCAGCCTCACCAGCATCCCCATCTGCTGGTGGTGGGCCACCATCAGCATGACGACTGTGGGCTATGGAGACACCCACCCAGTCACCCTGGCCGGGAAGCTTATCGCCAGCACGTGCATCATCTGTGGTATCTTGGTGGTGGCCCTTCCCATCACTATTATCTTCAACAAGTTTTCCAAGTACTACCAGAAGCAGAAGGACATTGATGTGGACCAGTGCAGCGAGGACCCACCGGAGAAGTGTCACGAGCTCCCTTACTTCAACATTAGAGATGTGTATGCACAGCGGATGCACGCCTTCATTGCCAGTCTATCTTCTGTGGGGATTGTGGTGAGCGATCCTGATACCACTGACGCTTCGAGCATTGAAGACAATGAGGATGTTTATAACATAGCATCCCTGGAGAACTGCACAGCAAAATGAGCAGGGACATGCGTGCCTGTATGTCATGTCCCTTCCTGATGTTAGGTTAACACAGCTTTACTAAACCTCAAAGGGTTTGTTAAAAATCATTTAATTCTCAGGGTGGACCTTCAGCCATAGTTGGACATTCATTGCTCCAAAATGATAGAATTGTCTTTATTTTTCTCAGTGAATTAAATGCCTTGTTCTGAAATTTATTTTTTAAAAGAGAGAGTTGTGATATGATTTTGGAAAAAAAAAAAAAGAGGTAAATGGTTCTGGGTGGGATTTGTTGCCACGGCTTGTGTATCATTCTGTGTTTGTCATTTTACTCACATTGAGCTGACTAAATTTTACCAACCAGTCGAATCAGAGGCGCAGCTGACTGAAGACTACATGCATGTAAGATCCACAAAATGAGACAATGCATGTAAATCCACGTTCTTGTTCTAGACATGGAGATTAGGAGCCTAATAAACCGCCTAATTCAGTTTGGAGAATGTCTTGGTTTTTTTTTTTTTATATCAAGTAAGTGTATTTCAATATGTTCAAAATGCTTTTTGGAGCATCCGGAGTCCTTTCTGTATGTTTTTGAGTTTCAGATATGCATCAACAATGGGCTAGTTCTTTCATTCAGTGGACTTTATGGTGGTTGGCAGGTAGAAGGATCACTTCCACGATTAAGCCATATTGTCCAGTGTTAAGGACATATTCAAATCGGCATATATTAAGGAGCCCTGTGCTGTTACGTGTATGTTTCCAGTATATATTTTGTATCTCTTAGTTTCTCTGCTGTGAGAAAATCTCATCCCCTGAAAATTATGCAGAGCAGAGTAAACCTTCACACTCACAGGCAGTTATTAAATTCAGTGAATGGTAAAAAGCAGAAATGTATACACACACAGATGCGATTCATTATGACCAAAGGAGTGAAACTTAAATCACTGGGAAAAGCTGTGCCAGCAGCTATAAAATGAGCCAATATTTACAAATAGCCTTAGACCCAGTAATGGCTTCATCTTGTGTGGGTATGCCTTACAACAAAGGAAGACATACGTACTCATTTCCAGAGCAGTGACGGAGCAGTTCTAGCCCATGCAGGGAGGATTTAGCTAAAATATTCATTTTGGAGATGTACAGTGACTCTAACTCACGCTGTCAGACTGTTTCTTCCCCTGGGATCTTTGGAAGCCAAGAGCCACATGGATTTGCTATCCAACTTCTTATGTTTGTAGATGCATTTCATTGAAAGAAGGGTGTTTACTGTAGGTTATCTGGTGAAGGTAACTCCGGTTCCTCAATCTTCTTCATGTTTCTGAGACTTTTGAGTTGGATGGGTGTTTGTAGTCACTTTTAAACCTGAAGGTTTATTACATCCCCTGTCCATCTGGAAAAAACATCTTTCTTTTTTCCAAAATGCCTTTTTGATCTTGGCATAAATATAGTTTTGAAGCATAGCAATGGAGTGTGGGATCTGGTTTTATTAAAGATTTCCCAATTAATAGTGAAGTAACTGCAAACTGCTTTTATAGTAATAATAATGGTAGCAGTAATGGTGACAATAGCAACAGCAATAGTGATGAGCTACATTGTAAGTGCATTGCCTATAGAATCTCACTGCTTCCTTACGTCTCTGTCAGAAAGGGTTTATGACTGTCCCTGTTTGAACATGAGGAAACAGCTTCACAGGAAAAGCAGCTTAAGTGGGCACAGTGAACAGGAGAGGCAGGCTGAGAACCCCAGGGGCCTGAGCCCAGAGCCAGTGTTTGAACACTGCTTCCCATTCCGCTGTGTTCAGGAGTGGACTGAAGGTGCACACCAGGGCAGAGGTCATCCGAAGAGATAAAGAACAACAAATTCTATCAGACTTTGATTTTTCCAGGATGTGAGTCAAAAGGGGAAAAAGCTGGCTTGTGTACCTTTCCTTTCCTGACCACAAAGCTGACACATTTGTTTGCAGTGCAGTTTTCTAGAATTTCCTCGAAGCTGGAATCACTCTGAGGGGCCTTCCTTGGCTTGGAGTGGCAGGCGCGTGGGAAACCCGTGGTTCTAAGAATTCCGGTATGTTTCAGCTGGTGGGAACCGGAGGGGAGCTTCCACACCTAGATCCTATTCCTCCAAGCTTGTGTGGTTGGAGCTTATAGGAGTTGAGTTTCTGCCTGGATTGCCTGTTAATTCCCAGAGGGCTTGCCCAAGTGCTCAGCAGCCAGGGAGGGAGCGGCAGCTTCCCTCTGGGCTTGGCCAGCTGGAAGTCACTCTCCCAGACCCCTCACCTCAGTCCCTGCTCTGCTCTTCATCATCTGCGGGCCTCTAGTGACCCAAAGCTGCAGGACCTTCTTGTGTTTACGCCTTTTAGCTTTCCCACAGCCCACGTGGAGCACCTGGGTTTGTCCCGCATGGTGAGACGGCGGGTTCCTTCAGAGGGAAAGGGTTGTCAGTGGCTAAGCGCCCACTGCACGGGGATGCTGGCGGAGGAGGGGATGGAGGGGCAGAGGAGGAACCAGGTGACCTGTCCCATTTCTGGTGTCCTGTTTCTGTGCTGAGCAGTCCTGGGCATTGAGGTTTACTTGTGCTGAGCAGTCCTGGGCATTGAGGTTCACTTGAGTGGGCCCAGGCCCACTCTGGGTGAGTTTTGCTTTATTCTTTCAAATTCCTTGTCCCTACTCTGTGACTTCTTCTCCTCCCTCAGATTTGTGTTGTCATCTTCAGCAGCAGCTCTTCATGGTGATTTGGAAGAACATCGAATCACCCACAGGCCTACCCCAGCAGCCTTGATTTCCTCCTCAGCCCTTTGCTGGAGACAGTCTGCTTGCCCGTGTTTCCACTCAGCGTTTCTTGGGTGCTTGCTGGCTGTGTGCTCAGGGTGGGCACCAGGGTAAGAGAATGACACATGGTCTCTGCCCCCAGGGAGGCTTTAGGCAAATGGCAGATAAGTAAGTCATCTGACTTCTGTGGGTGAAGGAAGGCTTCTTGGAGGAGGTGGCACACCTGAGCTGAATGGGAATATTCACCTTTGAGATCCTGGTGCATTCAGTTCAGTTTTAGGGATAAAACCTTCACTGACACTGGACAGGCCCCAGCCACAGACACTGCTCATCTCTGCCTTGGGGGCTTCTCTGTTCTCCCCTCTGTGGAGCACTCTTTTTCGTTAAAGGATCATCCACATTTAGATGTACTGATCCTAGTTTCTTCCTGTGTCAGTCGCTGTGCCCACACAGGTAGACTTATTGTTTGTTTGCTCTTCCTTTTTTTCTTTTTTTCACTGAAATATTAGCTCCAGTTGCTTTAGTACCTGCCTGAGCTCACCCCCGTGTGCTGATTTTATATTTGACTTAGAGTCTGAGGGCACTTGGTATGGTCCCCCTCTAGAGGGTCACAGTGGGCCATTGTCTTGGGGCTTCTGTGCTCTGAGTGAGACCCCCCCCCCCGTCCTATATTATAGAGGTTGATTAATGTTACTGGAGAAGCTTCTCCTAACATTCAGAAAAGGGTGATTTGTACCATTTGAAATTGTAATTACCCTCTCATTTTGAAACACAGCAGTCTCAATATGGATCTATTTAGTGTTAAGCAGTTGCCCCATGTTTGCAAAAAGGTGTTTCTCAAGTTCTTAGAAAAATCCAGTCTTTGGATGTATTGCATAACCATTACTTTCCAGTTACTTGGCATTTCTGAACACCTAATTCAGGTAAGAATTTGTATAGATCATGTGTTTAAGAGTCACAGGAAAGCAGGGAGCCTCAAGGAGTAATTGAAATGATGTCTGCTGAGACCTTTGAATAATCTGAGACGGGTAAGTATTTCCTCAATTTTTAAAGCTCTCCAGAGGCGGAGAGAACACCCCTGACATCCTACATTTCACCTAAATGCTGCCAGGAGCATTTTAAAGTTCATTTGTCCTTCTTGACCCTCCGAAGGTGGAATCAACTACTGAGGGCCCCTGAATAGGAATGTCTGTGCTCTTCAAGCCATTCTGTTTCCATTCAGGTCTCTCTTCTCCTGCTATAAAGAATCCCAGTTTTGAGACTTGTATTCACTTTTTTCCCCCAAGAAAGTAAGAGAAGGATACAAAATATTTATTAGTTGTTTATTAGCTGTTCCCGAATTTGAACAACATCCAAATGAGTTAGGTGTGTTAGTGAAGAGTGCAAACAATTTCCCCAAGTGTCAGTTCCCCATGGCTTCGGTGACAAGTTATCACAAACTTGTTGGCTCAAAACAACAGAAATTAATTCTCTCACAGTTCCGGAGGCTAGAAGTTTGAACTGAGTCTCAGGGGCTAAAGTAAGCTGTTTCCAGGGTCGGTTCCTTCTGGAGGCTTGGAGGGTAGGATCTGTTCTGTTCCTCTTCCAGCTTCTGAGGGCTGCAGCGTTCCTTAGCCGTGGACACATCATGCCGGTGTGCCTCTTTTGTCACATCTCTCTGCCTCCCTCTTGTAGGGACACTGGTATTACATTAGGAACCAAATCTCCCCATGTGAAGGTCCCTAGTGTGGAGAGGGACCCTATGGAGAGGATTTCCCTAATTTAATCATAGTTGCAAAGTCCCTTTGGCCTCACAGGTAACATGTACAGGTTACAGGGGTTAGGATCTAGACATCTTCGGGGACAGGTATTCAACCTTCTGAACCAAGGTTATGCAGCTACTAAGAAGCCTGAATTTTGTTGTGATGCTAATACAAGTACATCACGTTGGCTGGGAAAAAGGAAGGACAGATATGAACATGGGTTTTGGCATCAAACTTGAGAGCTAATTCTATTTTTGTCTGTGATCATAGACAAGCTCTGCAACCTCTCTGAGCCCCAGTCTTCTCATCTGTCTATGGAGTTGACACTGACCTTCTCAGATGTGTAGTGTGAGCATTAGGCTGCCTCTCTCTGTAAAGCATCTGGTGCAGTGCCTGGTATAAATGGTCTTCCTTATATTATTACCATGCAAGACTCCTTTTGGCTTTTCTCAGGTGGACCCCATACAGGAACAGGCACGTGCAGTCTGATTGCAGTCCGTGAATGAAATCAAACACAATTTGACTGTTGAGACTTTTACACGTGTCAGTAGAAATGTAATTGATGAAGTATGGTTGTGTGAAAAGATACTGAACCTAATTTACAATGAAGAAATATTAACCTCAAATAGAAGAATCATATTTAATGCTGGAGCATCTTTCAAGTGCATTGTGTGGGTTTTTGGAAAACAGAAAATGACATTGAGATGCAGTGGGTTTGCAGATGGGGAAGGCACTGGACCTGGCATCCCAATACCTTCTATTTGTGTTCCAGATCTGTTCATTTCTCCCTGAAAGGGCTTGAGGAAGCCTCTTCACCTTTATGAGCCTCGGTCTCTTAATATATGAAATGGGAACAACAAGATCATGGTTGTGTGGGTGTACAAATGCTTCACTTATGTTCTATAAACACTTAAAGTAAAAAGCTATCACGAGGATCTTTTTCCCTTATATGAAAAACAAAGAGAAAAAGCCACTACCCTTGTGTCTATG